TTCAATCACAATCTGAAGAATGTCAGAAAATTTGAAGCTTTTAGTTGCTTATTCAAATCAGGTTCTGAAACAGAAATTTTCTACAGTGTTCCTTCTCAACCTGTCTTTGCTCAGTTCCATTCATATTTACTGTCTTTAACAGATAAGCATTCTGAACTCTAAAACTGTATCAGCTGAGCTGCTGAATCCTTCCTCTGTAAGAAGCAAGTTCTTCTCCTTCGTTAAATTGCCATTGTAAATTTAAAAGAAACATAAAAATGTTAATTTGTCTATGCTGCTGCTCTTTTGAAATCATTCCAAATTCTGCTATATATCTTTCCCTGAAGTGACTTTTTTACTTTTGTACAATCATGTCACTGCGCATTGCTACAAACATATAATGGAAAAGAAGATATTATTTCTGGTACTAATTCCTGAAGGAATGAACTAGATGTCTTCTTATGTCACTGAATGCATATCCACTGTCACCTAAAGTACAGTTTATCATCTACTCATGTAGTCCTACTACTATTAATGATTTTACTGACTGGTATTTAGCACAGTGAGACAGAGAACACTCTGCTAATACCCCAGGCAATTTGGTTATGACTACACTTAGTGGCCCTAAGTCAATTATTTTTTAATGCCTCAGAAATGCCAATCAGATATATTATGTAATTATGCATACTATCCACTTTTACTATGCTTACCCAGCATACACTGCCCAGTTGTAGGTATTCTGCCAGTTTCTCTGATTAGTATTTCCAATATCTTACTCTCAACAAGTAAAGCTTACAGGCTTGAAGTTTCCTGGATAAGGCCATTGCTCTTTATCAATGCTTTCTGATAAAGCAGTGCTGTCAGACTGCAAAGAATTTTTTGGTCATACTCATTCATCTTTCTGACAGAGGTTGTTGCAATGTAGTTAGGGCTAAAGTATCAAATACAAATGGGAATATTTTTGGAGAAAAACACTTTGGTAGATTAAGTTATTTCCATCAGTTTCATAAATAAAACCACAGCAGTAAACTATTGAATAAGCCCATTGTACCTGGATATCAATGGTTTTTCCAACCTTTGCAATCTTGCAGTTTTTATCCTGGGTTATTCTCAAAGAACACCACTGTCATTTCTGAAGCACTGAAACTTTTCTGGACTTTACTATTTATGAAATTTCTCCTTTCAAGAAGGTGAAAGTTAATACAAATTCATGAAAACTGTCATGTAGCAAGGCAGACAAGACTTCATGATTCCCATTTTTTCCAAAGACTTTTATGTTACAGAAAAAGAGACAGCACTAGGAAGATGGCATTCCAGGTAAAAAATGCCATTAATCACAGGGAAATAGAATTTCATAGCAATGAATGTGCTGGAGAATGATGTGGGAAATAATCTGGGAAATAATTGAAGAAATTAACAATATAGTGGACATTTGCTTCATTCAAGAGAAGTTGCTTCTTCAAACACAGAAATACTTGAGTTTCCTAAATACCATGCACAGGATTTAAAAAAAGCAGCTGAGTAATAGTGATGCAATGAAAAGGTACCTGGTAAGACCTAAAAATAAATAAACAAATAAATGAGAGAACTTGGGGAAAGGGACTCATGCCAATATCTGGTGAAAAATGGCAAGTTCAGAGAATTTAAAATATCTTACACCAAATCCTTAATTTTCAGGCTGGATAACTTAAGTACAGACTATGATCTCTTCTTTACTTAATTTGTATTGTTACTGAATGCCCAGATACATGCCATAAAAAAATGTATGTCCTATGTCTAAATAAAGAAAAATATGTATAAAGGGAATAAAAATCATGCATGTTATGGAACACGGTTTGACAGAGCAGCTGCAGTTCATATAGGATCATCTAATTAAATTGTGAGAGCAAGGGGGAAGGAAGCACAAATTTATATTCTATTGTGTGTATAAAAAAAGTATTTTGCATGTCATGATTTTGTAATTATGGTCTACATAGCCCTATAACTCTTATCAGGCTCTAATTAACTATAGCACAGCAGGTAGACAAGAACAGTGTCTTTTCAGTGCCATTTTAATGCTCTAGCAGGAACACAAAAAAATGTATCACAGGAAACAACCATCACCATTTTACTGGAAAAAAAAAAGAGACTCTTAAAATGGTTTTAGCTGCAATAATGATCAAATCCTTGTATTTTCCATAAGTGCTAAATTATTTTACCTTTATTTCTACTGTTATCACTACAAATGAAGTTTTAAAGTATGTATTTTAAAAATGCATTGCTGATTAAAAGAGCATGTTACAAAATCTATACACATAAAAATCTTATTTGGGATTTTGGAATAATTTAATATATCTTCATATGTTATTCAGGAAAACTATAGGGAAATAAAGAAAGCAAAACTTACTAAACATTTTATTTATTACTACTTTTTTTTTTTCTAATTAAACTACAACTACCACTATATAAAAAGTTAAAAACCAATTTGCTCAGAATAAGGTGACTTGGTAAATTTTTCAGCTTATGCTCCTGATAAAGCTTCCATGTAAAAATAAAATACATCAAGGAAAACTTTTTCCAAACGGAAGTACTGACAATGATACATTCCAATTCCACTCATGCCTCAATGCCCAAAAATACTAGCCTAATTTCCTTTAAGATGTGTTGGTACTCGCCAAACTCTTTTAAGGGATTCACTGAGCTCAGAAAACCTTAGAGTACTAACTGAATCTCTAAAATAAGTGCTCTTTGATGTTTTCCTGACACTTTTTCTAATATCAAACTGTTTACATCTGAAACAGAAATCAGCTTGTGCTGGTTCTGATAGCTGGCTGCCATCAGCAAAACGTACATTTTCTTAAGCTCACCTCTCCTTAGGCCATATAGAAATAAGTATCCGCCACACCTTTAAATGCAAAGTGTGCCCTATACACAGTGTAGTGGTATTGCTAGTATGAAAAGTCTGACACAAATTACATAATAATTATGTTGGGTAAACCATATAACACACAATTAAAAAACGATGGATGAGTTGCAGGAAGACTTGAGGTAGTGTGAATGGTCTGTTCTTCTGCTTTGTCTCTAGGAGAACTGTGAGAATCCACTTCCACTACAAAAATATTTTTAAAATATTATTATTTCTGAATACAACTGAATATAAGAATGCTTTAAGTGCAGTAATTTATCACATCTTCTCTTTCATTAATATTTGTGGTTCTTTTACATTCTTTTTATAATATTAATAACAGCCACTATATCCAAGAAGCATTTTCTGAAAAAGCAGAAAACTACGCGTTTCTGATCTGAACTCTCTCTCTCTTCAATTCTATGACAGTGTAAGTTATAATTAAAATTTATTTTATTTACCCTTGGTTTAAGAGGTAAGTCCCATACTATGAAAAATATCTATATCATTTTCTAAACAGTATATTAAGAGTTGTTTTACTCAAAAATCCTTCTCCCCTCTCCAACAAGATGCGAGGTGGAATTTCGTATATATAGTGTGCCCTTTACAACGCAGACTGTCAAATCACTGCAGGTTCGACTTATCTTTTTGCAGTCTATAATCCATACCATTTATATTGTTCATGTCACACTCCTGATGTAACTTTTCAGTCACACTACTTCGTTTTATAAGAGTTCAGCAGAGCATAAATTTTAGCTTTTGGTGAGCTATGACAAAGTCTCCCCCAGAATGTTATATATGTAAAACATAGCCACTCCAATTATAATATTGTATCAGTGGTCTTCCCACTGTCAAGTCTTCTAAGAAGTGTCACAAAAATTTGTCATAGCTCATCTGAAATATTTCACTTATACCTGCGAACCACCCATAGGTCTATCAAGTTCTAGTTAACATGCACTGCCAGTCCTTTGTACCAAGCTTTTTAATTCTTACTTTTAATGGAATCTCCTTCCCTGTGAATCTTACTCTTTTGAAGAATACGGACTGTCTGCCCAGTTGTTCTACCAATGCTCAACAAATCTGGAAAGAAATGTTAGTTTCTGTGAGTTTTTAATGAAAGTTTTGAAAAACAAGAAAATATCAACCATACAGCCTGGTGTCTTCACATTTAAAACTTAATGAAAAGGGATACCTTTACACATTTACTTTTGTATCTCTGAAGATGTGAGTTATCTCCAGCTTTTGTTTTCCACATAGTTTATGTAACTACAGATTGCCAAGTCCTAAGGCACTGCTCCTCACCATAGAAATCCTGTTTTTACTATATGATCATGAACAACCCCCCCCCTAAAACTGATTTAAGTAGGTTACTCTTCTGCTTCAAAGATCAACCTGTCAACAACACGGTGGCTCCTGCATGCAGTTGTCCTGGTTTCGGCTGGGATAGAGTTAATTTTCTTCCTAGTAGCTGGCACAGTGCTGCATTTTGGATTTAGGATGAGAATAATGTTGATAATGCACTGACGTTTTGTTTGTTGCTAAGTAGTGCTTACACTAGCCACGGACTTTTCAGCTTCTCATGCCCTGCCAGCAAGAAGCGGGGAGGGGACACAGCCAGGATGGCTGACCCACGCTGGCCAAAGGGCTATTCCATATCATACGATGTCATACGCGGTATATAAAGTGGGGGGAGTTGGCCGGGGAGCAGCGATCGTTGCTCCAGAACTGGCTAGGCATCGGTCAGCAGGTGGTGAGCAATTGCATTGAGCTTCACTTATTTTGTATATTCTTTTATCATTATTATTGTTGTTACTATTTGCCCTTCCTTCCCTGTCCTATTAAACTGTCTTTATCTCAGCCCATGAATTTTACTTTTTTTTTTTTTCCCTGATTCTCTCCCCGATCCCACTGGGGGCGGGGGGAGTGGAGTGAGCGAACGGCTGTGTGGTGTTTAGCTGCCTGCCGGGTTAAACCACAACAGCAGTTTACCTTGTACAGCAACTCCAGGCAAAATTTGGTGAGGAGCAAAGAAGGAGGAGAGATGGGAGATAAGTAGATACACAAACACTCCATGAGCACATACATACAAATGCCTGAAATAATACACAAGCAAACAAAGACAAATACAAATACTTACTCTCAGACAAAATTTCTAGCCTTTCGGCATTCTCTTGCAAGGTAGTGTGCCACTGGTTGGCTATTATAGAACGAACACCAGTAAGGCTTAGAAGCATTGCTGTCTCTGTTGGTCTTTCTATAACAATATGTAGACAACTAAAAAAAAAAAAATCAAAAGTATGAGATCAATAAACTAAAAATGTACATAATATATCAAAAAACATAAGTAAATAGACAATGCTTTTTAATAGAAGGGGAAAGGGAATGCCAGACTGCATTTTCTTGTATGCGAGGCATGAAGTGTTTTCTAACGTTCATTCAGTATCTTAAATTTAATACAAAGACCTTAGGTAACTTTCTCTCTACATCTTTTCATGATGCAATTTTACCATGAGGATTGCTCCCTGTCATATTACTGTTCTGGGCATCTCAGGAAATGTGAAAAGAGGAGTAACACACTAACTTTTACAAAATACTGCAGAATACCCTTTATAAGACAGTCAAAATGTTGAGAATCAGATGAAAAACTTGTTTAGTTCTGCTGAAGCTGCTAAAAGGAAACATAAAATATTGCAAGAATGGAAAGCTTGCTCTTTGTTATAAGCGTGGCAGTAATTTGGAGGCTTAAAAGCAAATCACTTGTAAGGCAGGATTAGATTTTTTACTGCTGAATATTTAAACAAGTATCTTTGGTATTATTGTTTTAGTGACGGGAGGGAGTGATACTCTGTAAGGTTGGAACTGCAGTAAATTGAAGGTTGAATTTTGTTTTTATTAGCCTCTGCTTTTCATGGTAACTATATCAGAAGACGATAAAGTTTTCTGTAATCTTTTGGGGAGATGCTATCTGTGTATGGAATTGTGTGACTTAGTTTTAACTGAATGTTATTCTAAACTTTCTGGAAGCTTTCAGGCTTAAACATGCAAGTCCTGTTGATAAATTCACCAATCTATTAAAGTGAGACTTCAAAAGTTCAGAGTTGGAAAAACTAGTTTAAGGAATTGTTTTTTTTGGTTTAGGAAATGGCTGTCTGGGGGAGGCGAAAAAGGATACTAAAAATAAGAACACCAGGAGGTTGTTTAAACACTCAGAGATCTGCATATTTACATATGTAGATGTGCGTATAACCTATCTAACACACAACTCATTTTAACTTACACATTGTTGCGTTGGTTAAACAGTATTTTTAAAGAATAATTTTTTCTTTTTTATGGAATGAATAATCAGAAAAGTCAAGAGCTATTTACGCAGACCTACCAGGATTGGATATAAAATTTAATTGGCTGCAGAACTATGGCAGTCCCAAAAATGACATGAATAAAAGTACATACATTTTTATATGGTCTATGTTAAGAGAGGAGAGGAGAGGAAGAGGAGAGAGGAGAGAGGAGAGAGAAAAGAATAATTTTCAGTTGGAAGGGACCTACAACGATCATCTAGTCCAACTGCCTGACCACTTCAGGGCTGACCAAAAGTTAAAGCACGTTATTAAGGGCATTGTCCAAATGCCTCTTAAACCCTGACAGGCATGGGGCATCGACCACCTCCCCAGGAAGCCTGTTCCAGTGTTTGGCCACCCTCTTGGTAAAGAAACACTTCCTAATGTTTCCAGTCTGAGCCTCCCCTGACGCAGCTTTGAACCATTCCCACGCATCCTGCCCCTGGATCCCAGGGAGAAGAGCTCAGCACCTCCCTCTCTCCACGTCCCCTCCTCAGGAAGCCGCAGGGAGCAATGAGGTGGCCCCTGAGCCTCCTTTTCTCCAAACTAGACAAACCCGGAGCCCTCAGCCGCCCCTCAGAGGACATGCCTTCCAGCCCCGTCACCAGCTTTGCTGCCCTCCTCTGGACACATTCAAGGACCTTCACATCCTTCTTAAATTGTGGGGCCCAGAACTGCACACAGTACTCAAGGTGAGGCCACGCCAATGATAAATACAGCAGGATAATCACCTCTTCTGCCCGGCTGGTTACGCTGTGTTTGATGCCCCCCAGGATGTGGTTTGCACTCTCGGCTGCCAGGGCACACTGCTGGCTCCTGTTGAGCCTGCTGCCAACCAGCACCCCCAGATCCCTTTCTGCAGGGCTGCTCTCCAGCCACTCCTCTCCCTGTTTATACTTGTGTCCAGCGTTACTTTGTCCCTGGTGCAGAATCTGGCATTTGTTCTTGTTAAATTTCATGCCATTGATGATTACCCAGTGCTCCAATCTATCTAGATCCCTCTGCAAGGCCTCCTATCCCTCAAGAGTATAACTGGGTTATCTGAAAATTCAGCATGGAGTAAATAATTCATGAATAAAATTAGGACACTAAAACTGTTCTTCTTGCTTTTAATACTTTAAAAGGTATTTGTTGGGTGCCATCTGTCATGAATTCGTAATGGACACACAATAAAAGTATACAAACCCTGCCACCTGTCAACTTAAAAGCAAGGAAAATACTGAGATGTTTTTAAGGCTAAAAAAGCTCTGATTAATAATATCAAAGATTCTGAACAGGTTATTTAACATGCCATAATAATTTATTTAAATAAAATCTGGCTGATTGTTAAACTGTTCAGTGTATGAAACCTTAGACGGACTCTTAACAGTTTACCTGTTAAAGGGAAGTTTTATATACTTAGTTGGAACATTTTGAGAATCTTGAACTCAGAATTGGGAGGTATGTGTAATGTAGCAACGTTTCTGTGTCATATTTTCTTGATCATTGCCTTTTAACAGAGCTTTCATCCTATTTAGCCCTATGTAAAGAATGAAGCTACAAGATAAGGAGACTAACTTCTTCCTTAGGTGTAGATATGAGCCCTTCTACTTGCAGAAGTAAATGAGAGTATCTATAACTCAAAATTTTAACTTTACTTTGAAATAAAAATAATCTGCCTTATTGTGGACTTTACCAAAATAAACTTTATCTTACCTTTTGTGGATATCAGAGTTTGTAATTCTTTGATAGCTTTGCTTTGATCGCACCAGATCTAGAAGTATCATCAAATGGCATTCTGGAAAAAAATATATTATAGCAGTGATATTTGCACTAATAATAATGACCAACATAATGAATATAAGTAAATCAGGCCTTTCTTAAGTTAATGACTTTCTTGAACACAGTCTAAACAACTAATATAAAATTTATATATTTCAGCCAAAATTGTCAAATATTAAGAACACTAATACAGTCATCCTAATATTATTTGATGTAACTTTGCTACACTTTTCCACAGTGTTTTGCAGATTTTTTTCCTGTGCCACCTTAGCATAACTAATAATGAAGTCCACATACAATCTTATTACAGGCTCATGGCCTATATGACTCAATTCTGTAGTTATAAACTCTTGTAAGATGGAGGTATGGAAATGTTATCTACCACAGCTCCTCTCCACAAGTCAGGACCAAGGCACATCTCAAACATTCCTTATTTTCCTTAAAGGCCCCCAGTGAAATAACTTAGAATACTCTTAGAATTAAAAATCTTTCACTACTCTTTGGTTTGCTGCAGCTTAAACCTGTTACTTATTCTCCTAACCGAAGCAGATGAGAATTACCTTTCTGCTTGGAAAGCCTTTGACCTACTTGAGAGCTATTATCATGTCTCCCCTCAATATGTCAATATTTCCCCTTAAAGTATGTTTTATATGCGTATATACATCTGAACGCACATACATTTCCACGATATCCACCGATAACTTATTCTATTTGGTCAATATTCTTCTCCAGTTGAGACCTTTGCAAAACTAAGTACAGTGGGGAATTATTTCATATATCTTGCAAATGACACTCCTGTATAGTTACCCCTATACAGAGCTTGGGTTTTTTCCCCTAGCAAGATGACACTGTTTAATTTGTGATCTCTTGACTCTATTCTGTAATTCTGTCCCTTAAGCAGTCATTCCTTAACATTAATGTTTAACTGATTATTTCTGCTCAAGCATAATACCTCCCTCTAGCTTTTCCTGAATTACCCCCTGCTAAGTACTTTTAACATGAAGATTGGCTCTACAACAGATTCAAACTCAGTCTGCAAGACAACTGTAATTTTACCAGCTAACAAGTAAAAGTTGTGTAGGTGGTCAGAAAATAGAACAATCCTTTGAGGACTAAGATCAATACATTTGAAATTAGTTCATTCTCCATTAAAGGAAATAAGATGCACTGGAGAATTAATCCTGGTATATTTTAAGAGCAGGACACAGGGTGAGGGTTAACAAGGTGCTCAGAAACTTTCCAAAAGTTGCCAGACCTGTGAATATTTGGCCTACAGACAGCTGAAACCTCATTTTCAAGAGTGACCCATGTACATAGGAAGACATATTTTCCTGATTCCAGTAATATTTATATATACATGGTTTAAATCATTTTGAAAATCAGCTCTTCCTGAAGAAGCTTCCTGTTACTTGCAGGGCTTCACAATATGATGTGTACTGTCTTTCTCAATTTTACATCTCAACACAATATAGATAGAAGCTAGCAATTTAGCTACCCTGACAAATTCAGCACAACTCCAAAGTTGAGCTTCTTCCAGATGTGCAAGGGAAATAGGAGGAGAAAGGAAGACTGTGAATCTGAAAAACCAGTCCTGAATCTAAGCCTTATGCTACAACACCAGACAGACTAATTAGTTGTGAAGAAGCAGAGGAAAAAAAGACCTTCTCAGAGTCTACAAATGCTTCATAATACCAGAGTAATCATTCAGCATTAACCCAGTCTTGACAGACTATTCTGCTTTGCCTGAGTGGAGACTGAGGAATTCTGGAGAAGTAGTACTGCAGAGGTTGTTCTTAACAATAAAAAATACTTTGTTACCAAATACTAAATTCCATAGAAGGGGAGAGGAGTTACTGGGAAAACCATCAGATGATTACTTAATTTTTGCAACGTAAGAAATTCCAATGTTTGGAAGTGGAGAAGGACTAAACTTATTTGTGAGGAATAACAAGCAAGCTGTGCAACAGAATAAAATCTACATAATGCAAAGTTTTTTCTGATTAAAACCCTAGATCTTGGAAAAAAGCCCTTAACTGCATCAATACTGTGATAATGATACAGTATGAAATAAACACAACTGGGAACAAAAGGTGGTGTAATTAAAAAAATGTTTTTCAGTTCGCTTATCTCACTTGGGATGTTCATAGCAACCAGTCTGTTGAGTAAAACATGAGACATGAATCTCTCCATCCCATAGAACAGAAATGCACTGCAGTTTGTCAGCAGCTGCTCCCATTCAGCTTGGCTGAAAGGAAGGAAGAAGAAAGAAAGGACGTTACTTTTGTGTTACTATTTTACAAGAATGTTTTTCAGAAATTATCCATAGCAAACACTTCAGTGTTATTTACTCCAGAAATATTTATAAGAAAAGTCAGCATGCAAAGCAAGGAGACAAACAAGACTGTAGAATTCTATGGAAAGTGTAATAACTCACGTGAACTACTACTAATCATTATTTTAATACAGAGGTATACTTAGTTTAGTAACATCTCATGGTAAACAAGAGGTATAGTGTATTTTTAGATAAATACCAGACTCTCAAAAAAAAAAAAAACCCAACAAAAAAACCAACAAAAACAACAAACCTGTTGATATATATGCATTGTACATCTTTGAAATGACAGTATTTAGCCAAACATTCCATGGGAGTATTCATGTATGCACCCATCAGGATATGAAGAAATTAGGTTTTGAAGACAGATGTGAATAATCAGCCTAGCTGGGGGCAAAAACTATGCAATTTGATAACAGGTAACAATCTCCGTAATTGTTATGAAGAAACACTAGAGTACCTACACAGTGATTTTACCTAAGTAGGGAAGATTTCAAAGGACTGATTAAACTAGCAGTTTTAAAGGAAATTCCAGTGATGACTGTGTTGACTCACTTACAGGACTTGTCACTGCTTGACCTGTCAAGATCCCTTTTATCCCTCTATTTCTATGATCTTAAAAGTAAAGTACTTCTATAAAGAACAAAGTGTGTTTATGAATAAACTCCCTAAAATGGTATTAGTTTCACGATCAGACATTTGAAATTGTAAACTGTGAGATGTACCTTCACTACTTTGCTTCTGAAATCTGTGCTCCAATCTTACAGCTGAAACAACATGCATGGAGATGCTATAGTTTGTAATACTTGGATTTAAAAAGTTATGATCAAAGCCAGAAATTAGATTTATGCTAACATATACTTACAATATTCATCAAAGACTGCACCAGTAGACTTTTTGTCAAAATTGGATTATCTACATATACAGCAACTCTGATGCAACCAATCTGGCTAAATCACTTTGTGGCACTGTATTTCAGAGCCCTAAAATATTCTGTCTACAAATCTAAATATGCATTTGAAAGAAAGACAATGGTTAGCTATGTGTTTACCAACTCAGCAAAATGTGACCCTATTTTATGACTGAAGCCTCTGGGAAAAGGCACAATTTTAAAAAAGAAACATGGATAAAACATGAAAGCAGATAGAATATTACAAACCTTGGAAGACGTATGTTGCCAATAACTCCTTCCCACTGTAGTGTAAATAGGTCATGGTATTTTTCTAGGATTTCCTTTATTTTTTGGGAAGGACTTAAAGCTTCTGTAACAATAGAATTTCATCATTATGAGCTTAACATGCTACAAAGGATGTTGGGCAATCTTAATTTCAATCATTTTAAAATGACAATTTAATATTTAGGGTTTTTTAGGCCATCACTTGATCTTAAGTCCAGCTTTTAAAACTGTAGCAATTGTGACATTTTCTGAGTAAAATTGTTCATAATTCCCATTTGAAAAGTATATTTTATAACTGACAAGGATTATTCAGTAGATAGGTTAAATTTAAAAGCACAAAGAAAAAATTCTAGATACTCTGAGAAACGTGTAAAGAGTTGAGAACACCAGCACTGCTCATACAGTTCTGTTCCAGAGGCTCAGAGAGGACTTAAGTAGATGAAGAAAATAACTGAGTTTCCAGAGCCCTCATTTCAGAAAGCAAGACTCCAGACCCACCTCTGCTCACCAAGGACATTGCATAATGAATGATAATTCATTTTCTCTTTTTTGACTACATTTTCACACTGCTGTAAATTAAAGATACACTCTACAGTGTAAACAGTGTTTTATTTTGATCTGCTGTGAAGCAGAAACTGCAAACATATGGAGACATACCCTATTATGCTACTGATTGTTCAGTAGCTTCTTTTGCATTAAGTTTAGGTTTAATAATTATCTCAATTAAAAACCTCCACTAAATCAGTTTTTTTGCATTTGAGATACATGTGAGTTTGGTAATGAATGTGAATCAGTTAAACTATTGCACACACTGGGAGAAAAAGTGAGGTAAAATTGTATTGTTAAAGTGTTTGTGTCAGACTGAATAAATATGTCCAGAGGAGGGCAGCAAAGCTGGTGACGGGGCTGGAAGGCATGTCCTCTGAGGGGCGGCTGAGGGCTCCGGGTTTGTCTAGTTTGGAGAAAAGGAGGCTCAGGGGCCACCTCATTGCTCCCTGCGGCTTCCTGAGGAGGGGACGTGGAGAGAGGGAGGTGCTGAGCTCTTCTCCCTGGGATCCAGGGGCAGGATGCGTGGGAATGGTTCAAAGCTGCGTCAGGGGAGGCTCAGACTGGAAACATTAGGAAGTGTTTCTTTACCAAGAGGGTGGCCAAACACTGGAACAGGCTTCCTGGGGAGGTGGTCGATGCCCCATGCCTGTCAGGGTTTAAGAGGCATTTGGACAATGGCCTTAATAACGTGCTTTAACTTTTGGTCAGCCCTGAAGTGGTCAGGCAGTTGGACTAGATGATCGCTGTAGGTCCCTTCCAACTGAAAATTATTCTATTCTATTCTAATACACTAAATGCCTACTGCCTTGATAAATACATTCCAAAAGGAAATAACAACCCTCTCAAATATCCTTATACGGCTGTTTGTGTCTCTCATAGTACCCTTCACCTTTCAAAGGACTGCAAAAACTTTATGTTACACATTCTTTATTTGTAGTCTTTAGCTTGAGAATTGCTGTATAGGTGTGGTGAATCCAATTGTTCCTGTCCCAGTCCACTCCCACTCACTACTGTTTCTTCCAAGCCCATTCATGGCTTTCAAGCAATTTCTTGTATAACAAAGAAGATCATACAAAGCATTATATCCTTTCAATTAACCTATATCCTTACCCGCACTACTGATATTGTATCTTAATGGCATATATTTGAAAAATTAAAAATACTATAGCAAGTTCCTGAAAGTAAGCATGTATTTTTAATTGGATTACATAGTAAGAAAGATTAGTCAAGTAATTATTTTCTTGGAGATATTAGGTCAATAGTTAGTGATACAAAAGAAATAATAAGACAATCTAATTTCTTTCCTGAACCTGAAACAGGTTATATTGTTTCACTGATGCACCATTTGACAGGTGATAAGCAGTACTATTCTGATGAAAAGCTAAGCTTTTTTGTCAACATCTTGATGTCATGACTTCATTTTCTGTTACAAACATTTCTAAATTCCATGGGTAGTTTGTGAAGAAACTATTATTTGATATATATTACCTGCCTCTCTTCCTTCATTATAGGGGTCCACAATATCTGATAAACGGTTAAGTGTAAACAATGCAATGTAAACAACAAAAAAAGAAAGTTTAACTGATACACTTAGCTAATAGTTTGTGAAAGGATACATTTAAAATTATGAATATCAACAGGCAAGCAATTAGAGGGTAAATCACGATTAATTGGTGCCTACAATTAAAAAGAATATATATTTTATTACATGCAGCAGTCTCAATCAAATATTAACAGTATTGCATTCTTTGTGTGAAACAACGAACAAAAAGATGTCCTGAAGTTTTGAAGGTAGGATTAAAAGCAGCAGGATACTCAATTGTCAATGGAAATTAAAAGCATAAGCTATTCTGCATTATCTACCATGCATATACATACATATGTACATACACATATACGCACATGTGTGCACACATATATAGATATATATGCACACATACATATATATTTATAAAATATGTGTATACGCTATATAAAATACACTCTAATGTTGGGGGAAGTATTTTAGTAACTTTAAACAGCTTCCTTGATGGGTTGTTAAATATGTCACGTTTACACAGAGTATGATTTTTCAAAGAAACAACTCTGTCATTATTCCAAAATCAACAAGAAGCAAAATTCCTATGGACTTATGTCATATTTATTCCACTTCAGAATTCTAGCACATATAATAAACTTCTATGCAAGCGACTTGTAGTTCTTTAATATTTTTTACACAAAAAGAAGAGCTACTCCTATTGAGTTTACTTAAAAATGTAGAAAGTTCACCATTTTGACATTCTTTTTCTGATGAGCTTTTGGTTTTGTTTCTTTAGACATTTCAACAGCTGTTTTAACTTCAGTCTCTGTGGAATTGAAAAGAACAGGGCTTTTTAAGATACAGGCAGTTTTAGAAAATATAATTTTCTGGAAGGACTTATATTTGTTATGATGTAATAGTACTAACAGATTAAACTAGAAAAATAAAAATTGATTTCACATCATAGCAAGGGCAAGGACATTCCCCAAACCCTCTTGGCTAAGAATAATGGCTTGAAAGTGGAAAACAAGCAAGAGATGTGATCCCTTAGACATGCAAATGCTTCATTACATTGCAGGTTTAGGACAGATTTGAATAGTGATTACCAAAGCACTTCCTAAGCCTGTTGCCATATCTATTCATTGTTGATGTTACTGGGATAACTGAAGCTTCTGTGAGACATGCAGAGATCGAAAGCAAAAAGGAAGTTTCATATTTGAATCTGATTTTTTATTTCTTTAAGGGATTAAAAAAAAAGCACAGAAAACTGACTTATATTTCTCACTGTATATATGACCATCACCCAAAGTACGTTTCAGCCAGTTATCACTGGAGTGCACCGCAAGTTGGTGGAAGTTTGAGGCACGCATTACTACTCCTACGGCTAGTGTTTCTTCTCATTTTGTGGCTACTTTCATAATTGCATGAACAGAGACTTTTCAACTATGCCTCCTCTCCTTTATCTGCTTCTAAAATTATGTAACCATAAGAAGTTTCACTTTAAAAAAGGTAAAAACAGAAATGGAAAAAAATCCCCCACATGTTCTAAAACTCCTATTTCTAACAGATCTGTAACAGTATATGAATGTGTATGTAGACCAAAAATATTCTAATCTCAGATTATTCACAACACTTCCCCTTTAGAAAGGAGGGGTGAAATGGAAAAACAGAGGACAGCTAATACTGAAAGTGCTAAATATTACAGATACGAACACAATACAAGAACCTCTTTGGAACAGAATACTTTCATGGTACAGAGTGAGATTTTCTAAACTTAGCCTATTTTTTAGCTTAGGTCTACTAGTTTTAATAATATAATTTGAGTTAAAATGTGTTTTTATCTATGTATGAGCAAAATGTGACTTCAAATTTTTAATTTCAGTAATAGAAAGTATCTTTGATTTATATAAAAAACTGCTTAGTGCCTGCATTTATTACTCACTTTTAGAACAAATAAGAAATTAATTTTAAGATGCCATAAGGGCAAGTTTACCAACTGTCCAACTACCTCACTTAAACTCATTCACTGAAGAGTTTATATAGGGTGCAAGTGTCTGCAGTAATGAAAGAAGTCCATAAAGCCTGTGGGATCTGATTTTGCTCATGCATAGCACAAGAATCGCTGGATTGTCCTCAGCCCTTAATATAATCTTAGCTATACAGAGAGGAAGCAGCTCAGTGATTAAAAGTTTTTTGCATTTGATATTTTGAGCAAAGTCTTACGTTAATGATAAAGAAAATTAACAGAATTCTAAATTCTTATTTCAGTTTTTTCAGTGCAGCTGAACACAGCTTTAAAGAGTTTAAGACCATACTTGTATAACTAAAACTTTGCAAGCCCATTTAGACTCCACTGTTTTACATAATTCTTTAATATGTAGAGGTTATTTTAAATTAGCTAGCACTGCAACTATAATCAGTCTGTACATTATTGAACTAAGTCTACTGTACTATCTATTCCATCTAAAATACCGGAAACCTATTGCATGTGGCAGTCTTCCAGTAAAATGTAAGGCACCATTCATATGATTTAAATTTAAGTATCTTGTTCGCTGCATCATTATGGTAATGCAAAGAATGTTTATCTAACAGTACCTGATTCAGCCAGATGTACTCGGTTGTAGAGAATCTGGAGAGAAAAATCTCGGGATACAGAACTTATTCCTTCCTCTTTAAAGATACTCAGAGCTTCCAAAGGCAACTCCATAAATAATGTATCTGCTAGTAATACCACACACAATCCTAAATCCATAGGTGTACCTGAAGAAATGTGACAGAACATGATTGAGATTTAGTAGCTCTCGGTATGTATATAAATAATTGAAGTTAGATGTAAAAACCTAAATTTCCTCTATCGTATGACACCTAAACTCCATTTTACTGTGGATTAAATGAATTATGCAAAAATATTTCTTTTGGTACCATTACTCCTAAGATGTTGTCAAATTTCTATGCATATGCACTTGTGAGCACTGATTCTTCAGAGGGAAAATTATCCCCATATTAATAACTAACCGTCTCAGATCGAAGTCCAGGTGTATGCAATGTATTCAAGAAAATGATGTTTGGAAATGCAAAATTGCCTTACCAGCGTTTGGCTGAACAGTATAGAGTTGTAAAGGAGCTCTTATCCAATACTAACCGTGTGTTTCTGTAGGAAACTTTTTGTTTCTCTTATTTAGAAAAAGTACTGAATATCATTATGACAACATTTTCCTGTTCTACAGAGAAACAACAAATACATGGAAGACAAGTTATTCAGTCTTTGCAGAACAACAGAAGCAGCCAGCTGCCAGACTGCAGAAAGAAACTTTTGCAGGTAAAAGCAAATGTAAATGTATATCTTTTTTTAGTAATTTTAAATTAAGAAACTTCACTGCTCCCCACCATAAAGCAAAAAACTCATCCCCAAAGCAAGCCATGGACTTGATTGCGTCTTCTCTTGGAACGTGTTTAGGGACATATTCCAGCATTAGGCTTGCAATAAAGCAAACAACCTGTTAGAGTCCATAACGTAAAAAGCAGGAAAAGACAAAAAAAAAAAAAAAAGAAGAGATCAATAAGTTCTTTCTTTTGGCCTTTCTCCTGAAAAGACTGTTTTGTAATAAATCCATGTTATTTAGCTGTCCAAAGCCTGTATAGTTTGGAAGACTGTAAACATTCAGAAGGATAGCTCCATCCAGCGTATAAATAATCTCTTTGGAAGTATACTAAAATACTTGACTAGATACAGAAAATAAACAGACAAAACCATTGCTAAAGCCTCTTTCTTCTCCCTGGCTTCAAAAAAACTGAAACTAAAATGACAGGATTTTTCTATCTGTACACACACATGCACAACTCTCTCTGTACTCAAGAGAGCACATACCCCGCATCCTAGTGTGTCCGAGGTCCTTATCTTTCACTTTTCTTTTTCCTGATTCAGCTGCTGAAACTGATGTGCTCTGTTCTCTGGGAAGAGGAATTACAGTGAAAATATTACCAGCACTAATACTTATAAGTATTTACTTGTAAGTAAAAGTTTTCACAGGAAACACAAAGACAAAACTACTTCAATCTCAGTGAAATTTTACACAAAGGATGTACTCCCTTGGGAGCTCCTGTCCTTTGGAAATCTCATCCTTAGCTAGTTAAATTATAAAGTTTCATTCTGAACTCAATATTGTATAACTTAAGCTGGAGAACAGTGCTTGTTAGAGATGGCCATTAGTCTATCATATGGTTCAATCCTCTTAGTCTTGCATATCCTGCATATACTGTCTTTCAAGATGTAAAAAGTTCATTCAACAGGATCTATTCTTGCTAAAACCATTCCTCTATCTGTAGGACTTGAGTTACCGTTCTGTCTTCACAAATGATGATAAAACAAGTCTAAATGTCTTACCTGATACCAGAAAAATCAAACTGTGACAGCACTGGTTTCAGGTATTCTTCCATAATTTCTAATATTTCAGAGAAATCTGATGTCAAATCATGTCCATTATCATGTATTTTCTCTGTTGGAGCCTATCACACACATTGCAACAAAAAACATACTACTTACAAAATGCTATTTAACAAGGATGGAGGGTGTATTATGTTAAATCAGAGGCTAAATCAAATAATTCAAAATATCATAAAATGGAAAACATAGATATAGAAAGTCAGTTTCAAAACTATTTTACTTCAAAACATCACCCCTATCAGCATTTTGCAAAATATTCTAACACAGGAATCAGTACAAGATGTCAATATTTATTGTTTAAGCAATTAATACACTTCTGCAATTTCAATAGGGAATGGCAGGGAAGTCCAGCAGAAAGAAAAGATAATGTGGTGCTCCAAATAACAGAAAGAAATTGTGAAAGAACAACTTTAAGAAGTAAACAGAAACTGCAAGATGAATGTTGAAGAAGCAAATGAAAGTGTATGGAGAGATCAATGGAGCCAACTTACGAAAAAACTAAACAGAATCAAGAAAATAGATAAGGAGAGAATAGAATCATGTAGGAGAAGATGACACTAAAAACTGAAGCTCCTAAAAGCCAATATAGATGGACACAAAAACACTAACTGGAAAAGCGAGCTCAACTAAATGGCGAAGAGCGTTGTCATTAACGAATGGACTTCTCACCCAAAGCTCTGTTTGTGCGGCTCTGTGCAGGTTGCATGCATAATTATTGAAAGTTGTAATGCGTATGCATTTTAAAAACTTAAGCCACTTTTTTTTTCATCTGTTCTACCTGATATTATCTTATCACCTTTTTCTTTACTTATGCAACTACAGCAATCTTTACATAACTTGCCATTACAACAAAGGCTGGCCATAGACAAGACAAAAAGTGATCAACGCTTGAACTATCTGCAATAATTGGTATTTTAACTGAAAGAAGCTAACATGATGAATAAAACAGAATTATAATTCAAGCACCAGGTGTGTCAAAGTTGTGTGATTAAAAAAATGAAAACTTGTACAGAAAATTCAATATGATCTGTATTTTTTACCTTTATATTAATGATGGAAATAGGTCTATACCAGCTTTTGTTAATATACTATATTTAACAGTGAATTTTAATTGATATTGAAAAACCTAAATTTTATCTAACAGAGCCAAAATTAAAGTAAATTAGAATGCTAGGAGGTAGACTTGCACATTTCCTGTGTAGAAAACTTTCTGTCACCTTGCAGCTTAAAAGCTTATGTGAAAGTCGCAGGCTTTTCCAGTGTACTTTTATGCTACACAACTTGCGTTCACCGATTGTGAAAAACAATGTCCTTACAGAACTGAGCCTTATTGCGGTAACAGAAATCTTTTATCATCTAGAATTTAAGAGTGTTCATAGCTACAAATTTGGAATTCCAATGAGATGTGTCCTTGAAGCAAAATTTTGTGACTAACGGACTTGGATCAACTGCGTCCAAATAAACAGCTATAGTGCAAAAGATATTGTGTGCCCTAGAAAGAAACTTTTCTGTGTTGGAAATCAGTAATAAATCTCTGGCTAAGATAGTTTTATTTTGATTAAAGGGTTGAGATCTATGATCCTATTTTTTTTGGGGGGGGGGGTACATTTGCAAATGCAAATCTCAGAGGTGCAGCACGTTTTTAAGTCCATTGATCTCAATTGCATCAATTTTCAATTCTGACAAACTACTGAACATTCCAAAGCTCCTGAGTGACATTGAAAACAGTAACAGAATAACATAGTAAGCTTAAATTTTGAAGCAGAGTACACAGCATTTAGCAACTGTGAAGACTACGGTTGTTACACTTGGAATAAACTGAAAATTCTGCATAAAGAGTGTTTATGACAGTTTTTTAGTACATGTTTTTCACCCTATTTTAAATATAAAGTAATCAAATATATTACCACATCTGTTTTGGAGACACACTCTTCCAAGTGTTGAATGACAGTCTGTTTAAGATGACTCTTCATCTTTTGCTGCTTGTAAAGACGCACTTTTTCCAACAAAATACAAAATGTATCAGGATTCACAGGAAACCGAGAAACTTTAGCTTGCACTATTAAAAGGAGGATAACACAATCTTAAGACTCTTTTTGAGACATCATATTTCTACTTGAAGAAATAACTGTACAGAGATCATCAGTTTCTAAAGCCATGGTGTTCTCTGAAAATTAAATAACTGTTTTTATATATATATATTTAGCACAAAATATATACAGAAATGTACAATGCAGAAAATCTCAACAATTATTTATCTTTAACAACTTTAGCCTTCAAATATAAACAAAATTTCTGTAAATTGTGACTAGATACATTATATCTGATAATGAAACACATGTATTTAGGTATTTACTTTCCTCTGGTATTAATAAGAGTTCAATTATTTTAAAAATTATTTTAAAATTTTACTGACTGCAACAGTGAAAGATATGAGCTTTCTCATAACATCAGTGCAATGATTTCTATCTCTTAAATGTAAGAGGCACTTACCCATTCGCTGAGTAGGTTTTCCTTTTTGCTGTGCAGCACTTACTTTTGGCATGTCAATCAATGAACTGTACAAATTTGATCTATGGAAAGCAGAAAACTGCTGAGTAGATTATTTGACTGTTCAGCCTTGTTTATATGAAGCAAATCTATTAGATGAGTAATTATTACCCTCTAATTTAATGTGCTCACAAATACTCTCAAGATGCAATATTTACCCCCACCCTGGGGTACAAAACCTGCAAAATCTAACTGAAACAAACTGAGAGCTGTAAGGAAAGTTCTCTCATTGCTATATATCCAGTAAGGTAGATTTTTATTTGTTCCATGACAATTGTTTAAGACTTTTCACAATTGGTGAAGGTACTCATAAGTCAGTTGCTATAGCTCAATTTATGAGTAGTCGCTAATTAGGCTGCAGTAATGAGATCATTTGTGGCTTTATAAAGCTAAATATGACCCCTCCTAACATTTTCAAGAGCATAAGCAATAAGAGCTGGAAACTTAACAGAATTTAGGAGGATACCAAGAGCAGCCTGAAACCTTTCCAGTGACCTCTGGAGATTTAAGAGATAATTAGGGAAATCAAAAGTACAGAAAAACATACAGCTTTGAGCTGCAGGCCGTTTTATTTACATATTAATCAGTTCACTATCCTAAAATTCAAGTCCAGCAAAATTAGAAGTAAAAGGCAATAAACAACCAAAAGAGTGCTTATGTACAGGTAAAAAAAGATTACATTTGTAACAAAGAGAATGCTAAACCAAAATGATGAAATTTTATACCTGTCTTCTGAATGCTGGAGAATAATTATGTAGAAATTAGATGGCAATTCATCCATTATATTAAAATGTTCAACAGGAATACAGAGATTTCTCCATGCCTGTACAATAATTCAAAAGTAGAATTATTTCCTAGATTTTATAAATGCCAATCTCAGTTCTTTCACCTAAAAATTGATAATAATTCTAGGAAAGAAGGTGTAATATTTAAAAAAAAAAAAGCCAAACCAAGCACTCAGCAGATGTGCCAGGACAGGAGGTTCTGTCCAGACAACACGAAACACTTTTCCACTGTGAGGGTGATTGAGCACTGGCACAGGTTGCCCAGGGAGGTTGTGGAGTCTCCATCCTTGGAGATATTCAGAAGCCATCTGGACATGGTCCTGGGTAACTGGCTCTAGGTGGCCCTGCTTGAGCAGGGGGGGTGGAGAAGATGACCTTCAGAGGCCTTTTCTAACCTCAACCATTCTGTGACTGTGTGATTTTTGTGTGTGCAGAAGAACTTAAAAATATTATTTAAAATAAATTATAAATACTGTAGCTTACTCCACTCTTCATAACAACATGACTTTTTGGCCACTACACTATCTGTGAAGTTGAAATGCTACCAAATCCTAGCAGAATATTAGCAAAGGAAGGGAGCAGAATAATTCATTTTAACATTCACGTTTGTAAAAGTCCTTCACAATTTTGTTAATAGACACCTCACCAAAAGGAACTATATAAAATTGTAGTGGGTTTACATAGGAAGGTTTTGTTAGCAGGGGCAGCTGCAGGGCTGTCTTCTCTGAGAAGACACCAGGAACTGCCCCCACGTTGGACTGAGACAGTTTCAGCTGGCTTCAAGTCAGACCCAACTCTGGCCAAAGCTGAGCCCATCAGCAACGCTGGTGGCACCTCTGTGATAATACATTTAAGAAAGGGTAAAAACACTGCACAGCAGCTGGAAGAGAGGAGTGAGAAAACATGAAAGAAACAGTCCTGCAGACACCAAGGTCAGGTGAAGGAGGAGTGGGAGGATGTGCTCCAGGCGCTGGAGCAGGGATCCCCCTGCAGCCCATGGTGAAGACCATGGTGACGCAGGTTGTCCCCCTGCATTAATTCCTCACGTGGAATTAATTATTTAAGTATGCAGATAGCACAACTCTGACATCCAGCTATACCAAATTGTAACTATAAGACAAACTGGAACTGCATCCTTAAAATCTCACTTCTGACTTAAATTACATAGCTCATGCCGCACAGATAACCTAGCATAAACAAAACCGCAGGACAGTACATACCATACTAATAAAAATGTATTTCAATTCATGACCAAGTCAACCCATGACTCAAATTAAGAAAACAAAAAAGTTAACAGAGTTTAAAGAAAACAGATGAAATATTATTTAATTCCAGGAATAACTGAAACAATATATATTTGCGTATGTCTATGTATATATGTATGTACACATATATATACGTCTCTCTGTGTGTGTTTATATAACATATATATAAGCCCCTAATAAGTAGAACATCTCAAAAAGTTACCATTGAAGTAGCAGTCAGTTGCTGTTCCACATTTTTTAGAAGATCACTTGTGTTTCTGTTTTGTTTTAAATGATTCTGAAGATGCAGTAATGCTGCCAGCTGAGAGCTGCTGGTGTTAGATGTAGCTGTTAGAAGGATACTCTTCATCATCGTAGATGCTGAACAGCTCTGTAAAATTTTTATATCTAGTTATTTTCCCTCCCCAAAATAACGTAAATACTATACTCTATGTTTATTATAACATATACATATGTTAAAGAAAATGTCTCTCGCTTGAATGGTGAGATGGATTAGCAAAAGTCTGTCTGCTAGCTGTGCTTACAATCTAATGTAAGTCCAGCAATAACTTACGAAGATTTCTTAAACACGAACAGCTAGAATTGACTTCTTCGTCTACATTTATCATCTATGTTCTTGCATTAGTCATCTAAGGTCTACATGGAAAGGTAAATGCCTGTGTTCTGAACTTAGCCTTTCAAGTAAGCGGACTCTTTTCTGTGTTTCTGTGTGCCTTTTACTGTATAGCCATCACATCACACATATTAACAGACGTCCTACAAAGAGCAATATAAAGGGTAAGATTTTATATCCTTTTCTTTCAGCAAACATACCAATGCTGCCCTTTGAACCGATGCTTACTAAGAGCTAAAGCATCTTTTTTTTTTTTTTTTCTTTTAATGCAGCTGCCACATTAGGAAAATGCAATTCGGGTTGACCTAATCAAAAATTCCAAAGGGAGGCTTAATATTGACATGGAGTGACATTTTAAACTTTTTTTTTTTTTTTTTTTTTTTTAAATACAAACCTTTCTGGGCAGAATAGAAACTGAATTTGCAGAATTTTTTGCCCAGTAAAAGACATGACTACTCATGGTTTTGGTGCCTTAACATGCATTCTACTTAGGTTGTTCACTCACAAGTATGACAGCAAAACATAAATAATATGGAATAAAGGACTGAACCAGAAAACCCAGTATCAGCTGTTTTCTGATTTATCAAAAGACCTACGTAGTCAATTCCACCCATGGGTGGAGGTATTTGCAAATCTAAGTGTTGACACAGAGGCAAGTGCTTACTGTCTGTCATAATTTCCTGCGATTTCCTTGATGTGGCAGGAAGGAAATCAGCATACAGTGCATTCCTGTATTTCTACAGTGGAGATGATGGTGTAGGAAGCATGTATTAATTGTTCCTGATGTAGGGAATATAAGCCTTACAGGCATTCCTCATCTTCTCTGTGGTGAAGGCACATACCCATATGAATGATTCATACACCTTCGAGCCATGTATGGGACCACGTTGTGCAGGTGTTGATTTGACAAACTGAATGTAAACATTTCCTACCTACTTCAAAATAATGAATGAACAAATTCAGAGAAACATTTTTTAAATTATTTGTTAGGGCAGGATGAAACTGTATTTTGTGGTAGTCTTATCTTAGCTAATCACATTATAGTAATTTATTCATATTAAAATCTTTTCATATATGCAACCATCAATGAAAACATCAAGTCAAACACAACAGATACTAGAATTGTTAAAAAGCCACTAAGCATTTTGAACTCAGTAAACGTATCATATATTTGATTACCTGTATTACTCACTAGTTCTTATATGCATCCGTACATTGTGTTCTGTATGACCCATTTTCAGGCTACATGAACAGACATTTTTGCTTATGTAACTTAAAATACCTTTTTTATACTGGAAAGAAGCACAATATATTAGCTGCATTACCTGATGAAGTGCCAAAAACTGGCTACTTAAAACTGGATCAAATTGTTGAAAGCATTCAACCATTTCAAAACTAGCAGGAGCCAGTACCTCAGTAATATTATGACTGAATGCAATACCCATACACTGTAGCAAAGCTTCGCTGGTTTGAGACAGATATTTCTGAGCCAACCTATGTTCCTTCTAGATGATAAAAATAAAAAGGCTTATATTAAAATATGCATTAATATTAAATATTTGTTAGATGTGTACAGATGACTAGTGTGTTAGAAAACATAAGTATTACTTTTTCATGACTAATTTTAATGCTTTTTCTCCTTTTTAAGGCATTTACTTAACGTATGACCACAACATGATTAATTATTTAGCAGACACCAACATCTGTTATACAACATTAAAAAATAAATGTTTTAACAAGATACTTTCTTTAATATAAAATGCGTACTTAGCAGAACAGTATTTAAATTCTAGGCAACATGAGCCATTCAGAACAAAGGAGTTTTCTGTCAATTCTCAGAACAGTTGTTTCCATTGACAGTTAACTCTATTTAATATAAATAAACCTGCAAATTTCTTATCTCAGGTATTTATTGATTATAGTAGCAACACAAACTGTACATTCCCAATTCCTAGTGTGCTTTGAACTGCAGTGGTTAACAGAGATCAGCTCACCATGAAATACAACTTAAATCTTGTAAGAATTTTACAAATGTTTTGTGATAGAAGTTCATTCTTCCTTTGTTCCCAGTCTGCAAAACGTAATGCTCCCTTAGAAGGGCATGTCTGTGAAGCACAGAGAAAGCTGCCTCTTCATCTTGTCCTGGCTGCTACATGCTCGGTCAGTGGGAAACCAGTGATGGAGAAATTATTTCTTTCTGGGAGCAACTGGGAAAACTCTATCAGGAGCTCCCACAGCATGTATTGAGGGGCAGGACAGAGACACACAGCAGAGTAGTGATGGAAAGCTGGCTTTTTGGGAGTGTTCGGAGATTTTTTTGTTTTGTAAGATCAAATTTATGTAATAAACATTTCCGTCATCAAACAGAATTGATAAGGTAAGGTGACTATTATTCCATAAAAAGGAAGCACTCAAATTCTAATGCAAGCACATACGCTAATATACCTTTAATTCCTGTATTTTCCTCCTGTACTTATCATATTGACGTTTATTAGTCGGTAAACTGCTGTCTGTCACTTCCTGTTCACTGCATTCTGCTGAAGTCAGGGAAGTTTTTGCGATGTCTGATTTAGCTTCTTCCTACTCACCGCAGTATAAAAAAAGAATAATGAATCAGTCCATTAAGTATGGCTGCCTTCACTTCTTTTGTGAAAGTCTAGGTGAAAATGGAACTCATCTTAGAAGAAATCACCTCACTATACTAATCCCTTGATGGTGAGAGATTTAGCAATATTATCAGCCATCAAAATTTCTTAATATGTTATGACGACAGTATGACTAATAGAAACTAAAAAGGCCCCCCATACAACCTCTAATATTTTGATTTTCCAATATTTGTCCTCAGTTAATTTCTTCTGAACACTTCAATTTATCACTGAATTTATGACTCAATCAACTTTCCTTTTCTTACATGGCGTTCTTACTACAACATAAAATGAATTTACAAATCTGAGCTTTTAATCTACAAGTCATTACTTCTTGTTTGCGTGGATTCAGAGATCAACCTACCTAGCCCTTTAAGGCATTCAAGGATTTTTTTTTCCTCTCTCTTTTGAAAATATTGTAGTTAGCATATCTCAGGAACGAACCAAAAAATTATCTACGTGAGCATGACATGTAAGCAGAAGCATTTTTTTCTGAAATTACTTGGTTCAGTATACGTTTTTATTATGGCTTGCATGCAATCTGTAAAACCTAGCTCTAAATAAAGAGTAGGATTATACAAGTGTATATAGAAAAAATATTATGGCAGACAACCTTTACACATAGGAATGAATTTAAATGCAGAAAAGAATGCATACCATAATATTTGGCTTCCAGTAAATCTCTGAATGGACAGGATTTACATTAACGGCAAGTAAACGAAGAGTTTTTCCTGTGAGATATAGGCATTTGGATTTGATGTCAGGACAGCCTCTACAAAGATTCTGTACGTTTGCTAACTGAGCCAGCGTAATATGACCCACAGTGCATTCCATACGCTTCCAATCCTGGTAAAATACATATTTATGTTTATTTCCTCATATATACCCACACATACAGAAACACTTTTTTAAAAAATGTAACATATATTTACATACAAACACATCTGTTAAATGTGACTACACTTTCAACTAAAACCGAGCTGTCTTTAATAGATATACAAATTCACTAACAATTGATAAAAGTACACTGTAACATCCATAAGCAAACAACAATCAGTGCTGAGGAAAACATGGCATAAGGGGAGGGTACTGCGGAGAATGGTGGGGACACTGTGCTTTCCTGTAACAGCATTTTCTATTGTCATTGTCAGAGACAGAATAATGGGCAAGAATTACTGCTCTGTTCCAGTGGGGCATGTCTTACGTTCTTATTCATCAGCTCAGTTAGGCATTTCTGCTTAAAACCAACTGTTTTAAAAAGAAGAGACAATAATGCAAAAAAACCCTCCGTCAATTATAAAGCTTCAAGTAATTTCCCTGCTACTCTTAGTGTCTTTTACGTCTCTACACTTGAGGAAATCTTTCCGAGAAAACAAAACACACAAAAAACCCAATAAACCATCCCTAAGGCAAAAACCACACACTTAAACATTCTTTGCTGCAAAACTACGTGAATGGCCTGGGGACCCATTGCCTCAGTAGTGGAAGAAGTTCTGTTATGGAAAACATCCCTAGGAAACTTTGTTATACCTTTATATGCAAATCACAGGACGAAATATTTTGTATTACCTGTTCTGTTGCATCATCTTCAATAGTTTCCTTGAGGAATGCCTCCATAATTTTATCAGACGATGCTTCTCCCACTTTTTTTAGCTTTTTCTCAGTAATAACAAGATGAAAAATGTCCAGAAGAATTTCTACAAGATTTATTTTCCTGTTAGCTAATTCCCTCATTAATGGGATACTAATATTTGTAGTCTGAAATACAAAAGAAAGTAGAATTCGAATTTCAAATATGTTTGCAAATTTATCATAGAATCATTAAGGTTGGAAAGGACCTCTGAGATCATCAAGTCCAAGTGTAAACCTAACTGCCTGGTCCACCTCTAAACCATGTCCCTAAATTTACCTGATAAGAAGTTACAATGTTGTATTTCTTTTAACTAACAAAGCAAACGTTTTAACAATATCACCTCAATAGATCAGAGATATTGCTATGAAGATATTTAAGTAATTTAAAAGATAAACTTCAATGTCAAATATATTACAAAGCAATCAGAGCAGCTGCATAGAAAAAGAGCAGCTCAGTTTTTGCTTTTCACGCTTTATGTACTTGGTACCAATATCTAATTCCAAAGGAGTTACAAATGCGTACATAAAATCAGAATTTTAATGTTAATGGTTTTGGTAGCTGCACAAAAATACTTGCTCTTTAAAAAAGGCAAAGCAGAAAAAAAGCTCGGTGCTAGAGTATAATAATGGTACATGCTAGCAAACTAGGCTGCAGGCTTTCATTACCCAAAATACACTATTTTGAAAACAGGCCTTCTTTATTTACATAATGTTCTGTGTAACCTTTTTTTTCTCCTGAGAAATAAACACTTCATTGTGGAGAATTTTAAACTTGTGAGGTATTTAGAGAATCAAAAATATCTCCAAGTTTAGACTTTCTCTTTTGTAGCTATTAGATAAATTTTAGAATTAAACAAAATTGACAAAGACCAAACAGATCTTCTAATTTCTGCTTCTCTTCTTCACTTTTTAAACTGTAAATTCTTTAGGCATGCAATGTTTCCTTCTATATTCGAACAATGCCTATCACTACAGGAAGATAATCTCATTTCGGGCTTCCAGGAATTATTCAAGAATGAATGAATAGTACAACTAAATTAGATTTCTTTACCATCAGTAGAAAAAAAAAATATACATCTCCATACCTCATTAATTGCAAATAAGCTACAAACATTATGAAATACTTCCTCTGTTTTGGATACTGCCCTCTGAGCTAAGTCATAAGCATCTAGATAGTGATTATGTTTTTCTTCTTTGTTTCTTTCCTGCTTGGCAATCATCCTGAAAAAAAACAAACCATAAACTCAAAGGAACTAACATAAATTGTTTATTTTTATGGTATCAACACTACTTAACATATATAATAAAATAATTAGATTAATAGATTATAGATTAAATAGATTAATTAACAGACAAAATAGAATTATTTTGTACATGTGGGTTTTGTTTTTTTTTTTAGGAAAAGTGAATGTTCACACATTAATTTTTCAAGGCCTTATTCTTGGAACTGTACTGCTGCAACGCAAGAAGATGCCAAGACATAAAGGAAAAAAAGGCAGATCATATTCAAGAGTATGTATTCGCCAGGAACAAAATGGCAGAATAGCCAGCTACAAAACACATGGCAGTCGTTTTAAGGGGACAGTTTGGGAACAGCTGGGAGTCAAGGCATATTGTGTTTTGCACTTTTGCTATTACAGCAATTTCTAGAGAACCATTTCAACAGTAAGAATTGTAAAAGCCTATAAATACCTGAGAATGACTGGTGTGGCTGCCAAAATGCCTTTACAAATGGGAAGACAAAAAGCTGACTTAAGAGACCTTGATACTTTGTTTTGACCTCAAAACCAGTACAAAAATCACGAGTACCATGTAAGATTAACTCTGCCTTCAGTGAAAAGAATTTTTGATTCTACAGTATTTTTCTAAATACACAACACATCAAGAATGCAAACAGATGCGTAACGCCAAGATATAAAACCTGACAATATTATCTGCTCCTTTCCATCTTTAATTAGACTATAAAAATGTAAACAATACACTTCATGGACTAGTTAAACTTAAATAAAATTTTTCATCAGAGGTATAATCTTACCTGTGAATATTTGCACATTCTAGCAGTATCTCAGCGCTGCAGTTTTTATGCCCGTAATGACAGAAGTCCTTCTCAATTTGAACTAATTTATTGTAAGATTCCTGTAGCATATGTGGCAACTGACAAGACTCAGCATTAATTGTCATACAATCTTGGGCAATATGTACCTGAATAAGTGTTTTCCTAGGAATAAAAATTAAGTACAAGATAGCAGTCAGAAAGCACAGGCTGTGTTTGAAAACAGATATATTCCTCTCTGGTCTCCCTTTAAATTATAAGAAACCTAGAAAATGCCTCTTCATTCATTAAATCTGTGGTCTACAAATTATAGTAGGTCCTGAAGAAAATAAAAATAATATATTTTCAGGTTAGAACTTAGGTGTCACTTTTTCCATGTATCTATTCAAACTGCCTAGGCCTAGTCAGTCTTCTAAATATAGTTGAACTGAGAAGACTATTAGTCTTCCCTTTCTATTCCAAAAGTTTCACGTTTCTGGAAAGAGAAGGAAGTGTAAATGTTATATACTTCTCTCCTTTTACTAACACATTTTAAGCTTTCTGTGCTTGGATTTTAACATAATCAAAATCATTGTTTAGTTTCACCATAAAAAGACTTCTTGGATCAAGGTGAGGAGAGAAATAGGTCAATACTGAGGACTACAGTAGCGCTGTGGGAATATCTGTGCTCAAACAGATACCTCTGCATAGGCAAATGTATCTTGCTCCTTTGGCTAACCTATACCACAAACTATGCACGATAGGTTGTGGTATCTGAACTAGCTTACTAACTTAACAGGTAGCAGGGCTACATACAAGAATGAAGAAATTGTAAAGGAAATTTAAATTTTAAAAAAAAGAATAAACATAAATTACTTAGAAGAAAAATATTTGAGAATCCACAGAATGCACGATACTAAAATAAAGACGAATGGTAAAAATCACCGTATACTTGCCATGTAGCGGCATAGTAGAGGCTGGGCACATTTTAATGAAAAGACAATTACCTGGCTTCAAGGGATGCAATTATAAAACCCAACTCCGATTGTCTGTTAGGTCTCTTCAGTAAAGTAGATCTGAGCACATTTACAGTGTGTTCCAGTATCTCACAAGCCTGCACGTAACATCAGAAATGTCATCATTCTATTTTAAATGTCTGTGTATAACATTAAACATTAATTTAGAAACCTTAAATTTTGTGCAGAACATGGTAAGTATCTTTCCCTCATATTCCCCAAGATGACTGACTCTTGACAACTGTATATAAGTCTAGAAAGTATGAGTTATGATCAGATTTAGATATTTTGATATGATTAAGTGAATGGAGCACAAACACACAAGAAGATAAGATGGAGCCAGACTCATCTTAGAGGTACATAGCAAAAGAACAAGGAGAAACAGGCCCAACTTGGAAAAAAGGGAATTCTAAACAGATGTTCCAGTGTTTGGTCACCTTGATAGTCACTTTTCTTTTTTGGGGGAGGGGAAAGGGCCAGAAAGGTTGTGGAATCTCTGTTCTTGGAGATATATGAAAAGTGCCCATATACAGCCCAGAGCAACTTGATTCAACAACAAGGTTAGATTTCACTTCAAAACTGCCCCTGCTTTGCCTGGGGTTAGACCAGATGACCTCTAACTTAAATAGTCATTTGTTTCTATATTTCACAGACATCCTCTAAGGGACAGATTCCTGCATCCTTACTTATACTGACTAGCATATTAATCCACAAGTAAACCTTACGTGATGATAGTTTTGCCACCTGGGGATGTAAAAGAAGTCCCCAACTAATAGTTTTGAATGAAAGTGCCCTTAGATGGTACTCAAAACCTCATCTACAGATTTGTCCTTATTAAAAAATTTTGCTGCTGCCTTCATGTTGGTCAGACGTGGAGGAAAAAAAAAAAACAAACAACCTCACATATTTCATTAATAGCTATACTGGTAAAACCTTAAGTAAATACTCTCACTGGTAACCAGGTATTTTGTCCTTCAATGATTGTAAATGTGAGTTCATCCCAAATCAAAATAATCCCTCTATGCAAAACAGACTCACACAGATTATCAATAAAGGACAGATCATCACAGACACAACAAGATTATATTTATGCTGAAACCCATGAAAGTTAAGGGTTGAACAGTAAACGGATATTTTAATGTTAAGGGTCAACCAGGAAAAGGTTTTTAATAAATATATATTTTTATACTTACAGTAGTATCTTTCAAAACCTAGAAATAATATTTGTAAAGCTATTTTAAATATTTGAAAAGGAAGTGCATACTAGGAAATAAAACTGACAGTTATAATCTTTATTAAATATGGAAAATAAGCACATCAATGTTAACAGAACTGTCTGAGTACAAAAGCATTCTAATCAAGAGAATCAGATGTCTTGGATTTGGTTACACATACTAGATTACAACTGCTCTTATTTCAATAGAAGGATATACAGCTTATCATAAAAACATACTAAACTTCTGTGGGTGAAATCTCATTCCTACTGGCCTAAATCTGTTTGGAATCTGTAATTAATGTTTGTTGAATGCACAACAGAAAAAATAATATTAACTGTATTTAACACCTATTTTTGCTTTTATTGAAATGCAAAGGCAGTAACATTTCTCTTCACTGAAAGAGAGCCACCACTGCTACAAAAAAAAACCAAAACACCAAACCCCAAACCCAAAAAACTTCCTTACCGTGCTCTGTTTTCCTTCCCCCTCTTCCTCTAGAATTGCTTCTATTAGACTAAGAGTGCTATTGTACCAAAACTGTTCATTTCCTCCTAGAAGCTGTGCTTTCTCAAGGAGTGCTTTAGCTTGTCCATGGTTTCTTTCCAGGTTAGCCAATACAGCAAATAAGTACAAGCACCTTGACACATCATACAGGGCCCTCAATTCCTAGGAAGAAAGATAGGTGACCTACATACAAAAGATCCACTACTGCTGTTCATATTTACTTCTATTCATATTTTAGATTAAACTTACAAATGGGCACAGAAATAAGAAGCGAATGGTATTTCCTCAATTATCTGTAGAATTTCTTAGTTACTCCTTATATTACTTCATTTTTTTTCAAAAACATGAAGTGTCTACTTCATATCAAGAACTTCAAATCTTCGAATATACTTTATATTTCTTTATGTTCCCATGTCTTCTACCACACAAGTCAAATAAGCTATTTTTCTGCTATTATTTAGTATGTATATAGCTGCTAGCATTTGTCAGGATCTGATGAAGAAATGTGATGATGAAAATTTTTTTAGTGAATTGGGATCTAGATACACTAGAGCTCCAGTAAATTTACAATGCTACTTTATGCTAGTTATAAACTATATACTAGTAGTATACAAGAGACAAATATAGTGTACAGTATAGATAGTATACTGGTATAGAGACATTCAAGACACTAGAAAGAAACTATATCATTAAAATTATTGTCCTCCCTAATGTCGTTTGAACTTTTCTCAATGTACAATACTAATTTCATGCTTTAATAAGAGACATATATTAATGAATATATTATTCATATATTATTATTCAAAGTATTAATGATTCATGCTAAATATACATAGGCAGTTTTTACTTACATAAGAAAAATTATTATGTGGAATAACAGGATAACAATTAGATTCTTTAAAAAGTAAAGGATTTATTGCAATAATTATGTTTCAGTAAGCCATATAACCAAGAAGAGAGCTGTAATGGAGAACGGTAGATACAGGAAGAGTATCTTTAATGTAAACTCTTCATAATAATGAGACGATGTGGATTTGTTTGGTGGAACACACAGACACTTATTTCAGATCTGCCAGAATTCTAACTCATAATTTCAGTGTCAGTGGTTGTTTATCAAAACACAGTTAGCAGTAAAACCATAATGAAATTCATTATATAACTAGACTTTCAAATGATCAAAACGTTGAGACGATGGAGCTAAATGCCCTCTCTCTCTTATGAGCAGGTCTTGAACATCCCTAAACTATTTTAACAAACACGGTTTGGATACACATACATCTTCCAAGGTCACTGCAAAGCAGACAGAGATGCTGACACTGCTTCACAAGTTGAAATGATCGTCAGACAATCCCCATAAAGTTGGACTTAAGTGCCATATATTTAAATGTACGCTTTATGTATGCTGAAACTCAAATACCATAGGGTTGGGGGGGGAAGGTTTGGTTTTGCAATTTGATTATTATTATGAGGAATGACTGCATCAAAATGAACATTTTTCCTACACATTTTATTAATTTTTCTGTTTTATTTCTGACATACCTGAGTTGCAGCATGGGCCTCTGAAAGCAGAAGTCTTGCTGGTTGATACAAGCCTAGCTGAATTAGTACTTCAGCTTTTTCTATCCACAAGTAAGGGAAACAAAGTGCACTCAGTCCCTTTCCTGTTACCGCATTTAACTCAAAAAACTGAAAAATAACAAAATATTACACCTTCATAAATTTTAAAACTATACTAGATGGAATACATATCATATTCAATTCTTGATGTATCCCACAGTCCAGCTCTATTTTCTAACTTTGAAATTCAACATCATATTACAGGAAAAAGAGATTTACTGTGAGATTTGGATTTTATAATCCTCAAAAGGCATTCAAGTAATAAGTATATAGTATTAAAACTAATTTTAGAACAGATTAACTACTTCAGATCTGCTACTGTCACGAAGAAGTTGATTCTTGGTAATAACTAAAACGATCAAAGAGAAAAACTATTTGCAAGAGCTAAAAGAGGTGACTCGAGAGGGATTAGTAATTAGAAAAAAGGATATTTTACATGCACAAGAACAGAAAAATATACAAAGAGAGCAAAATGATATGGTGAAAACAAGGACGGAATTGCCATAATAAAGAGGAAAGTGGACGTAAGGCTTAAGAATATCAGTAAGGCAATTATCTTCCTAAAGAAGAGACAGAAAAGACAGAGCTGGAATATTTGCATGCCTTTAAAACAATGTATAAGAGGGAGCAAAACAGTATGCAGTGATGTAATGGAGAGAGGAAGAAAAGAAAGCTGAGACCAAGAGCGAATACAATATCTTTTTTGCTTCTCAGTCTTTTCCATTGATTTGCATTAGTCCCAAATTCCATTTGTAGAAAAGTAGTTTTACTTTGTATGAATACAGATTCTATTCTTGTTCTTCCACAATACAAATAATATGCCAGGCAAACCCAGCTCACATTCAGCTGATGCCTGCCAGCAGAATTTTAGTAGTACGCATTTTTAATGATTTTTTGTGTTCATGTATTTCTCAAGTATAAAATAATTTAAAAACAAACTAGCAAGTATATTAAAATAAAACGTGAAGAGTAATTTATTAAAGAAATGGGACTAGAAATAAAAACCTTTTCACTTGAAGTACGGATATTCTCATCCCTACTACGATTCAGCTGAGCATATTCAAAAAATGTTTTTCTTTCTTCTGTCTTAGTATGTACTTTTTTTTCTTTTTTCAGGGCAATCTCTTGTCTGCACCTAAATCACAAGAAAGAAAAAGTAAATTCAAGTATGTTTTTAAAGTATTTTGTAATGAAGTATTAGTGTGTTAGGCATCTTCACCATACACTCACTCTGTAGATAGACACAAAACAATAATGCACAGAATTTTAGGGCACAGCTAATATACCAAATCTGTGTTAAGACATCACGGTTTTTAATAATTTTTTCCCCCAACAACATTTATCAACTGTAG